GTCATGTTATTCACTCATTCACTGATTTATTACCCTGAATTGATCATTTGTCCCATAGTAAGTGAAACAAGGGATCAGGGACCTGAGTTTTGTCCCCTCTCCTATCACTGATTGTATCTGTCAGTCGGGTGCCCTGCGTATGCATTGTGAAGTGGTGGTATTTCTTGCCCAATGGGGCTGCACTGTCAGTTCTGAGAATCAGGGGAGTCTCGTGGGTAGGACAGCACCCTGACACACATGACACCCCCCACCCCGTGGGACAGCATTGTCGATGCTCAGGTGACCCGATGTAGACGGCAGTGTTAAACCTGAGTGTGTTTAGTGATCTTGCTGGCTCTGAAAATACAGACTACCGGTCCCTACCTCTGGAGACGCTGAGTGTCTGTACCCCAGAATTCTGCATTTTAAGAGGCACTTTAACTAATTCTGATGAAGATGATCTGAGTGTCCCATTGAGTAAAAGTGTTGTGCGATACAGCAATATTGAAGATTCTCAGGGAACGATGTCTTTTCAGGATGGTCCAAGGGCCCTCACTTGAGACTTTTGCCTTGGGTTTAATTGTATGTGTTCAGAAGTGATGTCTCCCACTTCCAGTGCTTGTAAGCGTGCTCTGTGCAGGGACTTGCACTCAGTAGATGGCAAAAACTATGATTCTTCAGGTCACTGAGCTAGAGTGTGAGCGATCTTTTATTTTGGTTTTCTTTATAGCAATGCAGAGTCTCCTGAGAAGAGATTCAGACTGAACAGCTTTGTGTCAGACTTTGGAAGGCCGCTGGTGCCCAAGGTGTTCTCTGGTAGCACAATGACGAATCTAGGTCCCTCTTTCACTGCTACGTCAAAGAATTGGACCACTTGGGTAAGGCCAAAGCTGGTATCACAACCATTACCCTTGACAGTGATATTCGGCTCCAGGAAGCCATCAGATGCAGCAGGTGGCCAGATGAGGAGCCGAACAGGCTAATGAAATGTGACATCCCCAACTTCATCAACACGGACCAGAACTCTTCCTTTGGGGAAGATGATCTCCTGTTTTTGGACCCACCAATTGTTCTAGAAGATAAGCCAGTTGCTCAGACCTCACACAAAGACTTGAATTGAGAAACGTTCTTTGTCAAGTGTCTTTCTGAAGATGTGAAGTCTGTCTTTGTATAGCAGGAATTCCCCTTTCACAAAATTGTATGTGTTTGTGTCTGAGAGAGAGAAATGGAGACAGACAGAAAGACGGAGGCAGAAGAGAGCCCCCTCAGAAGAGAGCTGGTTAAGGTGAGATTTGTGCCTTTAAAAAACATTTGGGGTTTTGGGGGGAACAAAGTATTTACACTGTCTCATTCTCCTAGTTGGAAACCTTGGCCCCATACTCATTGTTATCGGCCTTGAACGGGGGTTGCCATGGTGCCACTTCCACGCTCTGCCTTTAGCACGTTGCTTTGCCTCTCAGGGCTGCCACCCTTTTAACTGTAAGGAGAGGAGTCTGGAGTAGGTGATCCATCCCAGCTCTGCTGTTTTGCAAATTTCTGATTTCGTATTCGGATGAGGCTGAGATACACCCAGAGCAGTATAAACCAGGCCCTACCTCCTGCCTATTGCTGGGGCATCCC